GAATATTTAGACTTTGCATTTTTTCCAAAAAATTTTCCATCGTTAATTGAGTAATGAATTTTGCTAAGAAAAATGTGGCATTTGAATCTATGCGTTCTTGAGACTTAATTCTTGTGAATATACATTAAAAGTATAAATAAAGACGGTTGCAGGCTGCACCATTAGTGGCATTTGCTCTTGGTGTATGGCAGTTACAGAGATTGCAGTGGAAAACAAATTTATTGAAAAAAATAGAAGATAGAATGAAACAGGAAGCTGTACCATTTCCAGATGATAAGTAATACTTTAAATTATTTCAGAAGATTTTCATTCCAGTAATAGCATATTCTAAATGACGTGTACATATTTATATAATTAAATAAGTTATTAAACTAATCGGTTTTTAAAAAAAAAGAAAGAAAAAGAAACTTCGCATGATCTATACAAAAATTCTGTCAACGGAAATTTAAATTCTTTGAATTTAGTTTGTCGTCATTGGACGATCTTGAATATGCAAAAGTGAAAGTAACGGGTGAATTTCTTCATGACCATGAATTTTATGTGCAACCAAGGCAACGATTTGATAAAGGTGAAACTCATTTGTGCAACCTTTGTGTCATATAAAAAAGTGAGATATCAATGAGACTTTCAGAGGAAAAGAAATCGAAAATTCGACCTGCAGTAAATAATTTTGGTAGCCCTGGTGCACAAGTTATCACTCCGTTTAAACTTCATCCATCGGGGTAAATTTTCAAGGATAAAATAATTCGTTTTAGGCACAGAGAGGATGCTATTTGTTTAGTTCGTGATTATACAGATTTAAATTTAACTGCCATATGCACGCAATTTTGATGCTTTTGCATATTTATTATTATTAGGATTCAATTTCTAAACTGATTAGATTTAAAGAATCCATGTAAGACCTTTTTCCTTGCTTCATCAACTTTGTTTCGTCTTTTTTGCATTTGTTGAAATTATTTGATATAATTATTTATTCAGCCAGATCATTCTGGTTAATCGCGGATGGGTTTCTCCGCAAAAAATCATTCCTTCAAGTCGAACTGAAGGACAAGTGCAAGGACAAGTTACCTTTGATGCAGTATAGTCGTCATACCGAAAAGGTAACTTACTTTATTGACTGTGACTTTTTTTTTTCACCTAATTCAGAAACCTATGTTTAGTTAATCCAATTTTAGAGGACCGAGAACAAAATATGGGAAAGTTTCAAGAAGTTGCAGCAGTAATCTTGAAGATTAATTTAGCTAGTATATATAGAGATAGTAGTGGTCTTGTTTGTTTATTTTAAAAACCATTGTTTTTTAATTTCCAAATTGTTTATTTTAGAGGCCGTCCTTTATTCGGCGAAATGATCCTGACAATGACCTTTGGTTTTATACAGATGTTGAACAAATGGCAGAAAAACACGGCACATTACCCGTTCTTGTTGATGCATGTTATGGTATGAAGATTTGAATTTTTGATATTGAAATATGAAATTTGTAACCTAAATCTCCTGTAGAAGCATGAATTTATTTATGAAATGAGATTACTTTATTTTTTGAAAAGTCTTTAAGTTATCATTTTAGAATCTAGTATTCGAGGTGGTCCAATCGGAGGTCAGACACGAGTAAGCCACAGAAATGATCATATGATGTATGCTTGTTTCTGGTTAGTTCATATTATAGCTTACTTTGCACTCAACTGATGTTTTATGCCGGTTTAAGCTGATGCAAATTTTCTTTCAGGTTTTCAATTGGAGCGGCAACTTTGTTTGGATGGTTTCTTTAAAAGCAGTTTGATTAGAATCTTGAAATATAATTTATACATTTCAAAACTCTGTGCTTGAAAAGTGAAATTTGATCGATTGTGAAAGCTATGAAATTTTCTATAGACTTTCTTCTTTTTCATTACTTTGTCAAATGGAATTTGTGAATCGCTTTAATGTTCGGTCATTTTTTCTTTTTTTTTTTTTTTTTCTGCCACGTTATGTATTATGAATTTCAGTTAACGAGTTCTAATAGTTTTCTTCTTTTGTTATTTTGTTTAGAAATGTTTAATAAAGTTGACAGAATTTTATCAATATTGCTGTTCCATGATTTGCACAACCTCTCAAACGGTTTACATGCACATATACAAGGACATGCATAAAAATTCACACATACACATACATGCATACCATACTTAAATGCATCCCTAACTATCTACAAATCATCTCATAGTAATGGAATTAATTACTGAAAGACCGAAAGAATTGATCCGGTCGCCTACTTTTCAGTGTCACGAATATGTCAAATCCTTATCACATCTTATCACTGATAAATGCTTTAACGAAGACTGGCAATACCAACAGAACGAACGGCGATATTTCTATTTGTGTTAATCCATATAATCCTTGAGTGATGTCTAATCTACATTATCTATCATTGATAAACGAGTGCAATCGCACTTTCATCCAATTTCAAACATTACCGGCAACTGATAATATTCTTTGTCATTGCATTCATATGTAGTGATAAATGTAATGATAAGCAGATATAATGAGAGCTCTGCTATAGTAATACTATACAAAAAATAAAAATTTTTTTGTACTTCACTTAATTCCTAATTATCTTTTAGAACAGAAAGTTTTGTTATCTTGTAGATAATAAAACAACATTATATGTCTCTCATTAAGAGCACTTAGATGCATTATTGAACAGCCTTCTGGTTTCCAGAAATAAATGCAACTACTTCAGTGATTTTGTATCCGTAATTTTTCGATTATGTCTAAAACCTTACATTATGTTCTTGTAGATCATGCTGATCATCAGGTTTGTTTTTGAATTGCTGTATCTTACTGATATAGCATTCTTGCTCATTTTTTTTGCTCTAGTGAAATTGGTAAAATAATGTAATTGTCCTATTATTTAATCAGTTCATTGGCATCTTAAATTAGTGTTTCTCATCTAAAATCTAAAAAAATCTTTTATAAATGAAGCAGCGTATAAAAAAAAATGAATTTCAAATATTAATAAAACTGTTCAAAAAAAAAAAAATGAGAACAATCAATATCACTATGAAATGCCGAGCCAGAAGTTATCGTTTTGCGATCTATGACCATGTCATTACTTCAACTACTTGATCCGCGCTATAAATCTGCACAATTCTTAGTCTTCAATAATTAAAAGCAGTAAATAGCAAAGAAATGACAAAATATCTTTTATATAAATATCCAACTATGTGTTCTCTTCGCTTGCCTTTAATTGCAATTTAAAACAATCTGTTGTGAATATCGTTTATTTAACCCATCAATTTAGCAAACTTTATGTATTATTTAACTTTGTTCTAATCAACTTTTTTCTGCTGCAAACATAATATAGTAAATGATCCATCCATCAATCTGATTGCAGTGAATTTATCACAATAGAGAAAGCGAAAGCATTATTCACTGAGCCATTCTCAGTGCAATGCAAGTATTTTCCAGAAATTTCTAGCCAAAATTTATCCAAATAACGAAAATTGTTTTGGATTGCAGTTTTTTTCTAATTTTTCAACTTTCCTTTTAACGCATTTGTCCATCTTGTCTAGTTTGAATGATTTGCTAATATCCTGAAATGCAAATAGCACAGAAAGCTCGTTTTTTTTTTATCGGTACAGAAAACTTTTGTTTTTATTTTTAATTACATGAAATAAGGCAGGTTTTAGGCGGTTTATAAGTGATTTGTAAATAGTTTATAGGTGGTTTATAATTGGTTTTAAGTGGTTTTAAATGGTTTGTGAGTGGTTTGTAATTGGTTTGTAAGTGGTTTGTAGATGGTTTGTAATGTTTGTGATGTTGTAATTGGTTTGTAGTGGTTGTAATTGGTTTGTAAGTGGTTTGTAATTGGTTTGTAATGGTTGTATGTTTGTAATTGGTTTGTAGGTGGTTTGTAATTGGTTTGTGAGTGGTTTGTAATTGGTTTGTAAGTGGTTTGTAATTGGTTTGTAATTGGTTGTAAGTGGTTTGTAATTGTTTTGTGAGTGGTTTGTAATTGGTTTGTAGTGGTTTGTAATTGGTTTGTAATGGTTTGTAGTGGATTGTAAGTGGTTTGTAATTGGTTTGTAAGTGGTTTTTAAATGTTTGTGAGTGGTTTGTAATTGGTTTGTAATTGGTTTGTGAGTGGTTGTAATTGGTTTGTAATTAGTTTGTAGGTGGTTGTAAGTGGTTTGTAATGTGGTTTGTGAGTGGTTTGTAATTGGTTTGTAAGTGTTTGTAATTGGTTTGTAATTGGTTTGTAATTGGTTTGTGAGTGGTTTGTAATTGGTTGTAAGTGGTTTCCAATTGGTTTGTGAGTGGTTTGTAATTGGTTTGTAAGTGGTTTGTGAGTGGTTTGTAATTGGTTTGTAATTGGTTTGTGGGTGGTTTGTAATTGGTTTGTGAGTGGTTTGTAATTGTTTTGTAATTGGTTTGTAATTGGTTTGTGAGTGGTTTGTAATTTGTTTGTGAGTGGTTTGTAATTGGTTTGTAAGTGGTTTGTGAGTGGTTTGTAAATGGTTTGTAATTGGTTGTGAGTGGTTTGTAATTGGTTTGTAAATGGTTTGTAAGTGGTTTGTAATTGGTTTGTGAGTGGTTTGTAATTGGTTTGTGAGTGGTTTGTAATTTGTTTGTGAGTGGTTTGTAATTGGTTTGTGAGTGGTTTGTAATTGGTTTGTTATTGGTTTGTGAGTGGTTTGTAATTGGTTTGTAAATGGTTTGTAATTGGTTTGTAATTGGTTTGTGAGTGGTTTGTAATTGGTTTGTGAGTGGTTTTTAAATGGTTTGTGAGTGGTTTGTAATTGGTTTGTAATTGGTTTGTGAGTGGTTTGTAATTGGTTTGTAATTAGTTTGTAGGTGGTTTGTAAGTGGTTTGTAAATGGTTTGTGAGTGGTTTGTAATTGGTTTGTAATTGTTTTGTAATTGGTTTGTAATTGGTTTGTGAGTGGTTTGTAATTTGTTTGTGAGTGGTTTGTAATTGGTTTGTAAGTGGTTTGTGAGTGGTTTGTAATTGGTTTGTAATTGGTTTGTGAGTAGTTTGTAATTGGTTTGTAAATGGTTTGTAATTGGTTTGTGAGTGGTTTGTAATTGGTTTGTGAGTGGTTTGTAATTTGTTTGTGAGTGGTTTGTAATTGGTTTGTAAGTGGTTTGTGAGTGGTTTGTAATTGGTTTGTGAGTGGTTTGTAATTGGTTTGTAAATGGTTTGTAATTGGTTTGTAATTGGTTTGTGAGTGGTTTGTAATTGGTTTGTGAGTGGTTTGTAATTGGTTTGTAAGTGGTTTGTAATTGGTCTGTGAGGGGTTTGTAATTGATTTGTAAGTGGTTTGTGAGTGGTTTGTGAGTGGTTTGTAATTGGTTTGTAGGTGGTTTGTAATTGGTAACTAAAGCAAGAAGATGTTTATTGTTGCTTTGTTATAATGGTTTGTCATCAAGCACACTCTTTACCTCTTTCTAAGATTTAAAATAATATACTAAAAGGATAGGTTTTAATTGACTTCGGTTTTTCCATTTACAATCAAAAATTATATGTTGTGTTCATTGATTTTGATTTTGTTGCTTTATCTAGCAAGTTAAGCGAGATTATTTTTGAAATTATTCACTTTCTAATCCGATAATTGTTTAATTCAGTCGATTAAAATTTGTTGAACAAATACGAGTTACATGCTGTGCCAAAGAGTTTCATCTCATTTTATGCTGAGAATTTATTAATTTTAATTTAAACAAAAAAGAAAAACTTGTAATATGATTCAAGGCAGAAAGATTCAGTGTTAAGGAGAAAGTAATTAAAAATATTAAAATGAAAATGGCTAGATAAGGCATATTCTGGTAAAAGTAATTTTATTGTTTACTATTTTTTTTCTTTGTTTTTTCAAGCATAAACAATTTCAATTCAAAACATTAGTAGATGGTAGATGATTCCAGCTGGTATTAAACATGAGTTTGGCATTTGTGGTTGGATACTTACAATTGTGGCATATGTTGCCGTCTTATTAGCGCTACCATTTTCAGCTTGTGTTTGTGTTAAGGTTTCAAATTTAATTGGTTACTGATTTCTTACAATTAAAAAATTTTTTTGATGATTTTTAAAGAAAATTTAAAATAGATGAGAATAAGATTAAAAGTAGAAGGTAAAAAGAGAGATAGCGAAAAAGAAAAGTAATGAGAGATAAAAAATAATTTTTGAAAAACTTAAAATTTTGATCGAATTTTTCTCTACTTTATCATTTTATCATTTATGAATTTTTTTTTGTACATATGATTAACATAATAAGTAGTATTTTCAGTGAAATTATTTCAGATTGTACAAGAATATGAGTGAGCAGTGATATTTCGTTTGGGAGATTAGTGACTGGTAAAGCTCGAGGACCTGGATTATTATTTTTTTTTTCTAGAAAAATTTTTATTTTTTTAAATTTATATTTGCACTCGGAAATATTTTATAAAATTTTTGTATGCTTTTTATAGGCTTATTTTTTATTTTGCCATGCATTCATTGCTACAGGAAAGTGGATTTACGTGTTGTATCATTTGATGTACCACCACACGAGGTATTTTTTACTTATTTATTTTAATTTTATTATAATAATTTACTTCCTTTTTTCTTTCACTTAATTCATAACTTAAAAAGATTTGTATGTTTTTAATTATGTTTAATTGAGTCACTAGCATAACAATGTAATAATTTATTGATAGCATTAATGTTAGATTAAATTTTCATCAAACAAAGCATATCTTTTCTTAATAGCATTATCTATCTTTTAATTTAATTCTTTTTTATAATCATTTATCAAAATGT